ATTTCGAATGAAAGTACATGATGAAGAGATTCGTTTGTCGTTATCACCAGATGAGGACGGATGAAAATCTGGTGATAACGACAAACGAATCTCTTCATCATGTACTTTCATTCGAAATGAAGTTCCCCCTAATAACTTTGAGTAATCAAGTGAGTTGTGTTCACCCTATTTCGTTTAAGGTAATGAAGGAGTGGTAGCAAACTTTTCCAACAATGATGTGAGTAGAAGTTGTTTCAAAGGGTTTTTCACATTCAAGCAGGAATGGACTGCAGTTTCGAGCTCGCCTAGGTCTTATACACACACCCAGCGTGAGTCGAATGACGACAGTGCCGTGTGTACGCACGACACGATAATCACTACACCAGATTGCCACGAGTGCTTTTGGGTCACAGGGCAGATGTGAATTTCATGTAAGGTCATGAAGCAAACTAACATTTACTATGGCACTCGATGACATTACTTTTTTCCTTGTTGAGTACCTACAGTTCATCATGGATGAGAACACCTTCTGCGAAAACAAGATTGTGTGAAATTCAATGCTAATGTCAACTCGACTCATAGGATTGTGGGAAAATTCTACTACCCGTCCCTTATCACCTTTAACGAAATAGGGTGAGCATAACTCATATATCTAATTTGCCGGTAGTCTCGAAAGCCTACATGATTACGGAAAAAAGTGCATAAATGACTGATTTGCCTTCATCCAGTTGTCGGTCAGTTTCACTGTAAAATTCTGGAAAAGTTGAGCTGTATAGGCTCTTTTGGTGTACAATCGTACATCTCAAATCCATCTAGTCTGATAGTAGATGATAAACAGATTCGAAGGTCGACCCTACCAGAAGACTGAAACTCGCTTTTATGCTACTTTCGGTTTCGCTTTCATCTGTCCCATCGAAGACATACGAACTTGGTATCTTTCTAACAACCGCCTCAAGCTGGCAATCTTTTGGGATATACGCTTAACTCTTCCCATCACACCTTCTTTTGAAGTGGAAGTTTCTTCAACAATTTAGTTTTCTTCTCTAATTTGCCTTCTGGTGATTTTTTGCTCATCAGATGGCCTACAAATGCGGTTGACCGGTTTTACTATTTGCTTTTGCGAGTAAGCGATATGCTGATTAATGTCATGGTAGAATCAAACCGAAAAACCGGTCTAATATACACCAGATAGCTAGACTGTGAGGACTGGATACAAACTGCCGACTGATGAATAGCAGAGCAGAATGGAAGAGTGAATCAGCATGGAGACCCATAGATTTGATGCAAGCTTTAGCTGGTCGCCAGCAAAACTGGCTTAAATCCCAAAGTTATAACCCACCCTTTTCTCTCTGCTTTTAGCGAAGCCGCTTGTTTGATTCGTCAATTTCTTTCCAACTGGAAACCGTACTGGAAACAAGTGCGGGGCAACTGATGGGCACTAAGGTCGACATCATGCTTGTAGTGATCATTACAAACATCAACATCAACATCAACAGCATAGACAGCAAATTCACGATTAATATTTTATTTACATTTTCAATCATCTTCTACGATTATCTTGTTATTTCTGTGTCGAGATGACCTTGATGTAAAGCAAAGGTGAATGCGGACGATCTTACCAGAAGACTAAGGAAAGAGAATAAACTGTTTCTTTCTATCTATGACGCTTGATGAGTTGCTTTATGATTAGATACTCCTCTAGGAAAGACCGGCCGGTTAGTTTGCTTAACAATTTCAAAGTTTGAGACTGATTTGCGAATTTTTGCTAACTCTTAGGAAATCCGTCGTGACGGCCAAAACCCCAGGTTGTAGGATCCGAAGGTGGATCTATGGATGATTGCATTAATCCGACCATCCTTCTCATAACGATGGACGGCGGAAAGACCAAACCCGTCATCGTCTTCTGGTGAAAGTGACCAGGGATTCGGTTTAGCACAAACTTTCACGTGGAATGAAAGTCTTGTTAGCATCTTCATCACGATCATCTTCGCATTAGGGTCCGAAGTTGGCATGGCGACGAGACAAGCGGATGATCCAGGCCGTGAGCTGTTTCGCGTCTATCATGACACTAAAAAGTGTATGAGATGTATTCACCCAATTTCGTTTAAGGTCAACTTTTGAGAAAGTAATGCAATGTGAAATCGAATTGTGGGAAAATTCTTCTTTTACCAGTCCTTG